TGGCAAACCGATTTGACTGACTGGCTGAGAACAGCCTGCACAATGATCAAGATAACGTAAAGGAAAACAACTCCCAGAGACTTCAGGACTCTGGTCAATACAATTATCAATCATTACTCCCGAACACTGAAGATAAATCATGTTTCCCATCTCTTGGCACACAGTTGCATGAGACAACCATTTTCACACATGGCCAATTGTGGATTGATTTTGCTTGAGTATACTGATTGGTATTGAGGGAGGGCCTTTTTTGGGGGGGAGGTGGAGGAAAGGGGGGAATGAAGAGGGAGGGAGCCTGGGAAAGAGGTTATAGGAAGAAGTATGGAGAGAAAGTGATAGTTATACCAAAAAAAGAAGATAACAAAGAAAAGAGGGTCCATGAAACATTTTAAAAATACAGAGATAAGAGAGAAAGAAAGTTCTGAAGGAGTCACAGACAAGCATGGCAGTGATGGAACTATCAAGCTAAATTTAAAATCTACACTTTTATTTTAAAAGCTGTACATGATAGAGATTTATGGTGTCATATAAAATCTTCTCTTTTTTGTCTATCTTTGTATAAAGAAATGTTAGTGTTTGTCAATCTCATAATAAAAAAAGAAAACGTTTTTCAAGAAAGCATTAGAGAACACACACACAAACACACACACACACACACACCACCAGTAAAGGGGAACTCCCTATGTGCCAATGCATTCCATTTCTGAACAGTTATGATTAACAGGTAATCCTCCCATGTGCTATTCTAGTATCTCCCTCCTTTCAACTTCCAAACAATGGTCCTAGTTGTATACTCTGAAGCCAAACCTAACAAATCTAATCCCATCACAAGGGGCAGGTCACATTCCCTCTCTAAGCTTCAGTTTCCTCCTCTGTAAAATAAAGGATTGTATGATCACAGTATCATACAATGCCATACTGTGATCGGACTGACAATTTAAAAGACTTGGAAAAAAATCCCAAGCCACCTATCCCAAACAATCAGACTTCCAAAGAAAAGAGCCAATTATCAGCCACTGGATAACTACCACATCTCAATGTATTTTTCTTATCGTGAGCACGTCTACTAACAATGCAGGTTATAGCCTTCTCATCTTGTGCTATTCTTGCCAATTTCTTCCCCTCCTTCTTCCACTCAGTCTTTGGATATTTTGGGGATACTGATGCAGAGATAACTGTGTCTCTATGTTACAAAGTAGGCCAAACTCCTTTTCTGATCATTCATATCTTGAGTGATATCTCTATTACAAAACTCCATCTATTTGGCCCAAAATATGTAGGAGCCAAAGAGAGGAAGTGAAGTGTTGTAGATAAATGACTGATCTCAGTGTCAAGAGGAGCTGAGCACTCCTGACATACTGGATATGTGACTCTGTGCAAGTCATTTAACCTAGGCAACTCTAACATCTTAAGATACCTATCTGTATCAGTGAAGGTAGTATCAGTGAAAGTAGCATAGCGATAAGGTCTTTCACAATGAAGTGATCATTGGTAACTTTGGAGAGAACACATGGCAAACTCCTAAGGAAAAAAAATGTCTACACTGGTTACTTCGGTTTCTTCTCTCCTCATTCACTCTTTAATGCTTGGTAATCTGGCCTCCATCTTCATCATCCAACTCAAACTGCTCTCTCCAAGGTTACCCATTTGAAGGCTTTTTCCTTAATCCTCGTCTTTCTTGACTTTTCTGCAGCGTCTGCCAGTTCTGACTACCCTCTCTTCCTCGATACCTCTCCTTCTAGGTTTTCATGGCACTCTCTCTCATGGTTCCCCTCCCCCTGTCTCACTGCTCCTTTCCAGTATCCTTTGCTGGATCTTCATCCACACCACTGCTCCTAAATTTAGGTTTACTCAAGGCTCTGGGGCCTGAACCTTATTCTCCTCTTTTACTATACTCTGAATCTTTACTATCTCACCAGCTCACACTAAGTTAATTAACATCCCCAGACTCAGTAGTCTATAGATCTATGGATCCAATCTTGGTCTTTTCCCCGAGGTCTGATCCTACATCACCCACTGAATACTGAACATTTCAAAATCGATGCCCTGTAAGCTACTGAAACTCAAGTGTGTCCAAAACTGGACTAATTATGTTTCCCTAAAAACATGCCCATCTTAAAAACTTCTCTGTTACTACACAAAGTATCCTTCCAGCCACCCAGGTTCACAGCCTGAGGGTCACCCTGAGCTCCTCACTCTCTCACCCCACATACCCATTTAGTTACCCAATCTTTATGTCTCTATCTCCCCATCTCTCCCATCTATGCCCTACTCTTCACTCACACAGCCACCACTCCAGAACAAGCTCTTGTCAACTCTCGCTTAGACTGTTACAATAACCTCCTACTTGGCCTTCCTGCCTCCCACTCAAATCCATCCCTGATCCAGCTGCCAAAGTGATTTTCCTAAAGAGCAGCTCTATCCCCTCCTCAGTAGGCTCCAGTAGCTTCATTATTTCAGAGATCGAACACAGACTCCTTTGTTTAGCATTTAAAGCCCTTCCCAAACTGGCCCCAATCTGCCATCCCAACTTTATTATACACTATATCTCCTGCCATACACTATGGTCCAGCCACATTGGCCCCCTCATCCGTGGCGCTCCATCTCTCTTCTTTCTGCCTTTGCATGACTATCCCCCGTGGTTCTCACCTCCATGTCTCAGAATCGCTAAATTCCTTGAAGGTTCAGCTCAAATGCCACTTCTACATGCAGTGTTTCCTGATCCTCTCAGCTCCTACTGCCACCCCTATAAAATTATCCAGCATCTGCTTTGTAGATGTCTGTATGTGCACACATCATCTCCACCAGTTAGACTGTAAGCTCCTTAAGGACAGGGGCTACTTCACTTTTGCCTCTATATCCCCCTTAGCCTAGTACCTAGCATATAGTAGGCTCTTAATAATTTTTTTAAATTTCATTCACCGTTGACTGATCGATTCAGAATCAATCGTTGAAACACGGGCTACCTCCTGACAAAGTGCTGGACTCAGGGTGCAGAATGAGACATCTATACTTAGTCCTATTACCACAGTTCCTCTGTTTCTACTCTTCCAAACTTCTTACACTTTTTAACATGGAGACGTACTCTGGGATCCAGTGACACTGGCATCCTTGCTCTGGACACCCCATCTCCCAACTGTTCCTTTTTACTGGCTGCCCTCCAGGCCTGAAATGCTCTCCCTCCTCATCTTTACCATCTGGTTTCCCTGCCTTTCCTTGAAATTTCAGCTAAAATCCCACCTTTCACAAGAAACCTGTCCCAGTCTCACTTTAACACTCACACCTTTTCTGGGAGATTGTCTCCATTTATTTGGGATACATCATATTTGTACATTCTTGTTTGCATGTTGTCTGCCCCAGTAGACTGTGACTTCCTTGAGGGTAGGGACTGTTTTTACCTTTCTTTGTATTCCCAGTGCTTAGCACTTGACCAGACACATAGTAGGGCACTTAATAAATGTTGATTGATTGATATGTTACAAGGGTTTTGTTTTTCTTGTTTTTCAAAGGGGAAGAATAAGAAGGAAAGAAAATAGATTTTTGTTCATTTTATTTAATTTGTAACTTTGTTTTTACTCTGTAAACTTATTATAATTGCTATTTCTGGCAAAAGTCAAATTCACCACAATATGCTCATAAAGCAAATGCCTTAAAAATAATTCAATTGAATTCAATAATAATATATTTGTTAAGTGCCTACTACTCATTACAAAGCACTAAAAGTTCCCTGAAATTCATTTGCCAAAATTATGCAATGCAACTGCAGAACTTTAAGGACTAACCTTATAAATGTCATAAATTGCTTCAATTCTATTCTAAGTATGTATAAGTCATCTGATAAACAAAGTATGACTAGATCTACAACCAACCATCTATATCTAATGAATCAGTCATTCTTTTTTGGTCTAGATCTATGATTTTATCTATGCAGGGACACTCCTTCCACTGATGCATATCAGCAATTTGTCTTTGAGCGATGACAAGGTTATGCGGTTCTCTGCCTCTGGAGTTTAACTCTCCATCTAGGGTGCCACCTAGCAGTCTAGCATCAGAAACAAGATGTGAACCCAGGTCTTCCTGAATCTAGTCCTGGCCTTCTATCTACTCACTGTATTAGGGTTGCCATACAAATTTGTCTAGGTAGGAGTGACTACAGTAGAAAATTCTGGTTGGTTCAATTTACCCCAGCCAAGTCTTTGCAACAATCTGCTTCCAGACCAGGCCCATTGCCATTCCCCTACTGGATTACTCTAGCTCAGCCTTAGAAGCCTTGGAGGTAAAAACTTTTCCACGAGATCTTTTTTACTTGGGAGTCATTGTAACTAACACTCAAGACCAGCTGTGGAAATCGCCTCACAAAGACTCATGTGTGTAACTCTTAAAAATCTATTTCTGCAAGCCTATTTCAAAGGCCAGAGATTATAGTTTTTTAGACACTACAGTTAAAATGTCCTGGTGATGCATTGGTCCAGTGAATGCTTTTGTGAAATGACTTCTAAGATGTTTCATGTCCAGATACTCACTTATTCAGGCTGTGACTTCATCTGAAAAGATTACCACAACATGTCTATACTCTGCATGTTACAATGACCTCTTACCAAAAGCAACATAAAGTTTGACCTAAATTGGAAAAGGACACTAGTATACCTGGCTCCATTCTTCCTGAGAAGCACAAAGATGGATCAGATGACCCCTTGAGTCCACTTCCAGTAGGGGGTTGTCAGACATTCCACAATAGCCAGCTGCAGCAGACAGCCTTTGAAATAGCTGCCGAAATGCCACCTAACAGTCACCACCATACTTAGTGCCATGAAGAAGTGCTAATGGAACAGGAAACCAAGTTCTGCATTCACTAACATAAGCAGCCACTACACAGAAAGCCACTAATTCAAGGAAGCATTTTGGTCACATGGGGACAGAGACTAGTAATGCCCAGAGCAGAGGACTGTCATGAATAAAATGTGTCCTGATTCACATTTCTCCCACCAGATTCTACTTACCCCCGCAGCAAATCCAAGGCTTCCATCTAAGATCCGTCTCTGTAAATGAAAACAAGATGCTTCAGTTTTAGGAGACAAAAAGAAAATCACATGTGCCAAAAGATAGAGAAGGTTCTCGCAGGACCACACAAATAAAAACTGGCCCAAACTTGACTTTTTTTGAACCTACCCCAAAGCCCAGAATAAGCCTTCTTATGGGTTCTAAAAACAAAAGGAAAGCTTCTCTCCCTACTGCTTCGGGGTGTTGACTCACCAAGAAAACAGCAAAAAAAGGATTCCATCCTTTAACTTGAAAAATGATACTACTAAACCCCCCATTTAATACCATTCTGTTTAACAAACATTTCTTAAAGACCTGTTATTTGCAAAGCATCGTGCTGGCCATTCTATTGGGGCTCAATAATAACTATGCAATAACGCCAACAGCTCACTTTTACATATGCATTAAGGTTTGCAAAGTAATTTATATAAATGATCTTATTTGACCCTCACAACAACAGGGTGAGAAGTGTTATTTTCATCCTCTTTTTACAAATGAAGTTCAGTGTCACAAAGTTTAAGTGACTTGCTCAAGATCAAAGAGTTAATGTACTGTGACTCTTCTGTTCTAAGCCTCAAGAAGTCTTATCCATGAGATCGATATCTGCTTTACCAGTCTCCAATCTTCCTAACACAAAGAGAGAAGCTGGAGAAAAACTGGAACCCTGGGCTTACTGACTCCAAATATAGCACTCTGTGTCCTAAGCAATCCTGACTCATGCTTCGGCGGGACTTGAGCTCAAAGCTGTTTTTTCCCCCGGTGGGGAGATCAATTTGCACCAATCCAAGCATACTCTCTTGCCAGGTTTCCCCAGTGACCAGCCTTTGGAAGAGAGTTGGCCTGGGTCAAGCACACAGTTTTGACTATAGCATAGAATTTCTCCCAATACAAAAACAACTGACCCATAGAGGGGAAGGACCTTTGACCTCATTAATAGTATGCCCTAATCAACTAGTTTAATCAACTATTATAATAGCATATATCATAAAGTCTGTAGGTGGAATCATCCCACTGTCCTCCATTCACAGCCTGACAAGAACACTACCTCTTCAAAAGGATGAGCTGCATCACAGGACTTCAGACCAAGGCAGCAGCTCTCCTTTTCAGGCCCACTGGCCCAGCTTACTGCCCTGGTGGTTCCGTCTTTCTTTATCTCTGGGCCAGCTTTGAGTGAGTATGGTTGAAAAAGCAAGAGCTTCAGTGGCAGGTGAAGGAAACACTTGTGCAGTGGGAAACTCAAAATGCTATTACTTTAAAGAATGACACATAATTAAAGACATGCTGATTGCTCACAGTTGGGCCATCAATATAATAAAAAAAGTTACTACCTAAATTAATTCACAGTTAAAGCTATACCAACTATCAATGGGGGTACTTTATAGAGCTTAAAAAAAAATAATATCAAATTTCATTCAGAGGAACAAAACAGCTAGAATAACAAGGGAAATTTTTTTTAAGGTAGGAATTACAGGGAAATGGTACATCCAGACCTCAAATTATATTATAAAGCAGTAATCATCTAGACCCCCAGAAAACACAACTATCTTGTAGTGCTTTTAAAAAATAGGAAAATAGGTCAGTAGAATAATCTAGATGAACAAGAATCAGAAACAATCAAACTCAGTAACCTGGTACTCAATAAAGCCAAGAATATAAACAACTTGGGGAAGTAAACCCCATTCGGCAAGAGCAACTGGGGAAACAAGAAAGCAAATTGGCAAAAAAAAATTAAATATATATATAACTATATATACATACATATATACACATTTAAACAACATCTTAAACAACATACCACAATAAGCTCTAAAGGAATATACAACCTGCTTATAAAAGGTCATACCAAAGAAATAATTACAAGAGAATGACATTGGATACCTTTTACAACTGTAACTAGAAGAGAATTCTTAACCAAACAAAGGACAGAGGTCATTAAAAATAAAAAAATAAATAAACACACACACATAATATATATGGAGAGAGAGGAGAAGATAGATAGATAGACAGACAGATAATTTTGAACCTAAAAAGCTTGTACACTATAACAAAATCAATGCAACTAGGTTAATAAGATGGGAAACAGTCAATTGGGAAAAAATATTTCTATCAAACACCTATAAGGGTCTGATATCCAAGATATGTAGGGAATGAACACAAATATATGATTGACGCCATTTTCTAATCAGTAAGTAGTTAATAAATATGTACAAACAGTTTTCAGAAGAATTACAAACTATCGACAATCATATGAAAAATGTTTCAAAAAATAATGATATGAAAAAGGCAAATCAAAAAAACTCTGAGGTTTCATGTCACAGTAAACTGACAAAAATGAGAAAAGATGGAAATCATCGATGTTGGTAAAACTGTAGGAAGACAAACACACTAATATAGTGTTGGTGTTGCTATGAATTGGTCCAATCATTCTGGAAAGCAGAATTAGGCATTTAAAAAAAGACTACCTTGTCCATTCTCTTTAACCTAGAGATCTCACAGCTAGGCATGTACCCTGAAGAGGGGCAAAGACAGAAAGAAAGGTCCTATGTATACTAAAATATTCACAACAACACATTTATTTTGTGGTTAGCAAAGTAGGTGCCAATGAACTGGAAAATGGCTAAACAAATTGTTGCTACATTAACAAAATGGAATATTGCCAGGTTGTAAGAAATGAAAAAGATGAAGAATTCAGAAGAGCATGGGAAGACATGAACTGGTACAGAATGAAGCAACCAGAACCAGGAAACCAACAATGACTACAATAAAAAGAAGGAACCAAAGTGAGGTTATCAAAATGCATCTTTCTTTCTTCACTGCAGTAGTGGGGGATTATGGGCATAGAATGTTGCATGTACCATCAAGTCTAGTTGACATGTTGGTTGGTTTTGCTGAACTTTTATTTTCATTCTTTCCTCTTTTAAATTTATTTTTAATTTTTTCAGTTAACAAAAATCTATTTTCTCTCCCTCCCATCTTCATCAGCATTTGGAAAAATGAAAAGAAAAAGAAAATCCTCATAGTAAATAAGCACTGCTAAGCAAAACACAATTTTTAATCTTTGTTATGATGGGTAGCTAGATGAGAGAGGGAAAGATATATTTGGAAATAAATGTAATATAACAACAAATGCCATAAAGAATTTTTTTTTAATATCTGAGACAGGGTCAGAACCCAACCCTATGAAAATAAGTAGTGCAGGTATCATTATCCAGATTTGTAAGGATGGTAAACTGAAGTGCACAAAGGTTAGATCCCATTTTAACATAATGTATTGTTCCTATGCATGTTTACTTGTGAGTTAATGTACTGTTACTCTTCTGTTCTAAGCCTCAAGAAGTCGTATCCATGAGATCAACATCTGCTTTACCAGTCTCCAATCTTCCTAACAGAAAGAGCACCTAGTTTGCCAACTTCCCAGGCATGTTTTAGTTTTCAGATCCCTCTCATAGTATGTTTAAATAAAACTTGAATCACACATTCATTTTCCTCTCTTTTGATTTCTAAGGCTGCTGTGCCAAACAATGAGACTGCGTGGCACCCATCACAATGGTAAGCTCTAGGAGCTTGCAGAATGAGAACATGAAGGGAGGTGGGGGAGAATTAGATCAGTTTTTCAAGTGTGTATGTGTCAATTCTTCCCAGGAGAGAAAGAAACATGGAGGACAGAAGAGTAGAAGACAGGGTGCTTTTCTCCAACCATGCAAACTTCTGCATGCTGGGAGGCGGAAAGAAATTGGAGAGAACCTAACAGAAACCAGGCAGCAGCAGCAGATTGAATGCACTGCCGTTCCCTCTCCCCCACACCTCCTGAACGGGGTCTCCATGGGCATTTGTGTTGGGTGGGAAGAGGGGGACAACGGCACTTTTATCGACATTATCTCATTTGGCCCTCACCACCACCCTGTGAGGTAAGTTTTTATAAAAGACAAAAGAGAAGTGAGTGAAGTTAAGCCACTTGCCCAGGGTTGCAAGCTAAGTGTGAGATTCAAACTCAGGCCTTCCGCATTCTAAGTCCAGTGGTGTACCCAGCATCATGCCGAGAGCCGTAGGATGGGCATGGGGAAAGCTGTCAGAAGGACCAGCCTGTGGATTTTTTTTTAAGAGAGCTGTAAAAACCACTTTGCTTTCAACAAAATCAGGAAAAAGCATGAGAATTTGGAGCTTAGTTATGTGGCATTCTCACAAGGAAGTATGAACTCACAGAATCACAAGGCCACTCACCTGTCCACGGGTGAAGATGAAAACCAGGGCTGCTCCAGCTGCTGTCAGACCCCAGGTGAAGAAGGTCCCCAGCAAGGCTTGGAACACAGGACTGTAGCCTTGGATCATACTGAAAGCCCCTGTGTGTGGTGGAGGAAGCCAAGATCAGACATTGAGATTACCGACTTCACAAACATGTACTGAGGGCTAACACAGCTTACAGGGCACGGGACCACCTCCCAAGAGAGACGGCAACATTTGGTTATCATAACACTCTCATTTAAGGCTGCCCCTTCGCTAGTTTATTTGGGCAGGCAGGTAAGATTTGGTTTTGATTTTGGTTTTGTCTTGTTTTGCTTTTACTTTTGTTTTTTTTTGGCTTAAGACTGGTTGCTCACAGTCCTAACCCCAATGCTGATCCAAAGCTTTAACCTGCTGTTTTTACAACCCTTCTTAGGCAGCCTGGTGGCACTCCCATGCTGGGGACTCACCGTATTGGTGCCAGACTTAATGTGAATATGTAGTTGGCTTCAATCCTACTGTAACTCAGAGCTCCAGAACTCAAGACATCCACAAGCCTTGTCCTCCCCCAGGACAGGAATGACAAGTGTGTCTCCATGCCCCGCTAGGGTTTGTTTTTTAAATAAAAACTTTAATTGCGTCTCCTGCCTATTCTTTTTTTGGGAGGGGGGCAATAATTGGGAGTTAAGTGACTTGCCCAGGGTCACACAGCTAGTATCTGATGCAGATTTTGAATTCAGGTCCTCCTGACTCCAGGGCTGGTGCTCTATCCACTGCACCACCTAGCTGTCCCTCTCCTGCCTATTCTAACAGACCACAGCTGCTGGAATCAAGCAACAATCAGTCAACAAGTATTTGTTAAGCATCAATGACAGGGAGAATCCTTTCACCTCCGTTCCCTAGGAGACCCGAAGTTACTGAAATCTGGCACAAACATGTAAAAGAAGACTGGGAGGTTCCAATGGGAAAGTTAGTCAAACCAGGCAATGACACTTCAGTTGATCTAACTCCCATTTAGTTCAACAGTGCTGCAGATGAACAAGCACAGAGAGCATAAAAAGTTATTTATTAAGCACTTACAATGTACCTGACACTGTGTTAAGTGCTGGGGATAAAAGAAAGGCAAAGACGGTCCCTACTCTGAAGGAAATCACATTTTCATTGGGAGAAACAATATACAAACTATGTACAAACAAGCTAAATACACTGTCAATGGGAGGCAATGTCCAAGGAAGGAAGGAACCAGTATTTATTAAATATCTACTAGACATTATGCTAAGCACTTTACAAATAATCTCATTGTATCCTACCAAATGGGAGTTAGGTGCTATTACCCCCACTTTACAGTTGAGGAAACTGAGGCAGGCGGAGCTTACTTGATTTGCCCAGAGTCACAAAGCTAGTAAATTTCCGAGACTGAGATTGAACTCAGGTCTTCTCACCTCTAGGCCCCGTGCCACCAGCTGCCTGAAGTAGGAGGTCTCTTGCATAAGAAAGAAAATATTATTCGTTTATCTCTGCTCAGACGACCTTCTCCAATGTTTACCTGTTCTAAAATCTTAGTTTAGAAATGACTGGTGGCCAAGCTCACATAGCATCTTTGCCCTAACTTTGGAAAATTACAGAGCTGAGAAACATGCTTATTTAAAAGCCATGCTCTCTACTATACAAACATCTGGTTCTGCACCTCATCACTCAGCTCACAGGCCTCTTTCAGTTCACATTATGTGTCTTTCCAAAGTCCACACAACTAGAGGCAACACCACAAGGCTGGACAAGAACTTGGGTGCCTTGTTCCTCCAAATCAGCTACCACAGATTCTGCCACTATGCACAGACAAAAAAAGAAAGGAGATTGGGAAAAAAAAAACAAACATTTACATAGCACCTACTATGTGCCTGGCACTGTGCTAAGCACTTTACAAACATTATCTCTGTCAAACAGAGGTTAAGTGACTTGCCCATGGACACATAGCTAATTAAGTATCTGAGGATGGATTTGAACTTAGGTCTGCCACAAGAGGGAAACTGAAAACCAAGAGTGTGAATGTGAGCCCTCTAGCAAAGCAACTCAGGAACTTGGCAAGACTTAGCCCCAGGAGACTGCCCTGCTTCCGGGTGGTCTCCTGCTCAAAGCCTGAGGCTAGCCCTTGGTGAAAGAAACCAGAGCAGAAGAATCAGACCAAGTCTACATGTTCAAAATTAACTCCAAGATGGGAATAATGATCAGATCAAACAAGAAAAAAACAAAGGCATTCTTTACCCAAGTCATCTAGATAATTCATGTAAAAGTGGGGTCTTTTTTTGACCCTTTGAATCACTGTGATGGTGGTCCATTTGTTTCTGCCTCTGTCCAATCAATCATTAATCCATCCTTCTCAATAAACATTTAAGTGCATACTATGTGCTAGGAACAGTACTAAGTGCTAAGGATACAAAGACATGACAGTACCTGCCCTCAAGGTGGTCACAATCAAGTATTTATTACAAGAATTTATTAAATGCCTATTAGATTGTGAGTTCCTTGAGGACAGGGGTTAAATTTTGGAGGGGGGAGAATGGTACTTTTCTTTGTATCCCCAGTACTTAGCACAGAAAAAATGCTTGCTCAAATCCAGCCTCTGGCACTTACTAGCTGTGTAGCCTTAGGCAAGTTACTTACCCCCTAGTGTCAATAAAAAGAGGATGGAGGGAGCAGCTAGGTGGCACAGCGAAGGGAGCACCAGTCCTAGAGTCAGGAGTACCTGAGTTCAAAACCACCCTCAGAAACTTACTTCGTGATCCTGAGCGAGTCACTTAACCCCATCATCTCTTAAAAAAAAAAATGCTTCCTTACTTGACTTGACCTGTCTACCATGTATCAGGCATTGCAGATACAAATACAAAGAAATAACCCTTACTCACAAAGTTATATTCTAACGGGGGATATAATAAGTATACATAGAAGTATGTGAAGAACATACAAAGAGAGTAAATACAAAGTAGTTAAATACAAGAGAGTGTGGGAGAGAGGACACTGGCAATAAGGGAGAGAGGGTCAGGAGAGGCTCACAAAGGAGGTGATGCCCGAGCTTTGTCTTAAAGGAAGAGAAGGATTCCATGAGGTGGACATGATGCAAGTGAATAACCACTGAAGAAGTGGTCAGACAGGTAGAAAAACCAGGGTGGTCAATAACACACAACAGATAGCTCAAGAAGGATGAAGACCATCATATTTGGCAATTAAGGGATTGCTGGTAATTTTGGAGAGAGCAGTTTCAGCTGAGTGATGAGTTCAAAAGCCAAAGCACAAGGGGTTGAGAAGTGAGAGGAGACAACGTGGAGGCAATAAGTGTAGACAGCTTTTTTCTAGTTTGGCCAAAAAAAGGAGTAGAGATATTGGATGAGGGCTAAAGATAGCCAGCTAGATAGAGTGGCAGGCCTGGAGTCAGGAAGACCTGAATTCAAATCAGCCTCAGACACTTACTAGCTGTGGGACCCTGAGCAAGTCACTGAACCCTGTTTACCTCAGTTTCCTCATCTGTAAAATGAACTGGAGAAGGAAATGGCAAACCACTCCAGTACCTTCGCCAAGAAAACCTCAAATGGGGTCACAAGGAATCAGACACGACTGAACAATAACAATAAAAAACAGTGGAAGGTAGAGTCTAAAGATTTATTTTAAAAGGGAAGGTTTAGATATGTTTGAGAACAGTTTGGAAGGGACCAACAGATAGGCAGAAGTTGGAAGTGGGGATGATTGAACTTGCAATTTGCTGAAGAAGATGGGAGGAGAGGGTTTCAAGGGCATAGGTAGAAAGAATGGACTTGGCAAGTATGAGGGCCACCTCACGAAATGATGTCAAGGGATTCTGAGATAAAGAGGAGGAAAGGGGGCACTCACAATGAATGGTTTCAATTTTCTCAGTAAACTAAGACACAAGGTTCTCAGCTAAGAATGGAGGGGAGGGCATGGGAAAAGAGAAGAGAAGAAGTTTGGATGTAGTGATTAAAAAGGTTCTAGAGACATAATTTCTGGGTAATTTAATCATTTTATTAATAATGCCAGCATTTTAACAAAAAGATGGTCATTTGACCATCCCTCTCTTAGACCCCTAAGACCCTTAGACTCCATCTCCAAAGACCCTAATGGCAGTTGGTTCACAGTTATATACCCTTTGAAGAGCAGGTGTTCAATCAACTCTGATAAGTTAACAATTAATGAGAAAATGAATATTATAATGAGAGGCTGAGAGTGACTTCATGTCACCCTTGGACTGAGAGACTAAATCTATTCCCACACCACCCCCAGCCTTAGGCAATTTAGACAAAAGGATCTATATCCACCCAAGCTTGACTGAATGGAATTCACCTAAGACTAAAGATTCCCAGTAAAGTTGGATGTGGTCAGATAGAGGAGAAAGTTAACTCAACCTTCGGAGACTGAGGTCTTGAAATGAGAGGGAAAAGGGGGAAATCCGAATCTCCCTAAATTATTGGATACTAATAATCATTTCTCTCATGGAAAAGCTTCTCTGAAGGGGGAGATATGACATCAATTAGAGGAGGAATAATAGGCCTACCTTACAGTAAAAGGAGCCTAACTGAAGTAGGATAGCATGACTTTATAATGTACCAGTTAAAACAGTTATGTGACTTTCTCTAGCTCTCTTAAGCAATCCATATGTAAGACAGAAGGAGTATGGTAAGTCGTCTAATGCCGAGGTTGAGTGAGGGCAAGCATCGACAGAACAAGGCAGGGGAAGGGATTCCAGAGTAGAAGACAATGCAGAATTGGACTAGCTAACTAAAGGGTTGAGATTAGAAAGGAAGGGAAGTGAAATCAGAGCAGAGATAATGGTCTGAGAAAGTCCTCTGGAGTAGAGGGACTGGAAGTTGGGATGAGAACAAAGAATAGGATTAGGAGGGGTCAAGCATAGGCAGAAACGGAATGACCTCTGCCTATGGTCAGAGAAGGGACAAAGATTTTGATTAAGGAAGTAGAACAAGTGGCTGATGGTGAGATCCAATGTGTGGCTGAGGTGGAATGAAGAGGTGGGTAATAAGATTTAAGAGGAATGAGGAATTGGGAGGTGAGGGAGTCTAAGGGATCCTCAGTATTGATAATGAAGTCCACTAGT